GGGGGGGGGGGGGGGGGGGGGTGGCAGGGACAAGACTGAGGGGGAGGCTGAGCCTGAGGGATTCATCACTCACGGAAATACCAGCTCAGGTTCAAGGCAAGACTTCTTTCTTCAAGGTCTCTCTCCAGGACATCGTTTGCCAAGTAACAAAATCGGGGCACATATGACCCTGACGACTCCGTAAAAACCCCGAGCACACGGGCTTCGCTCCTTACTCCACACTTAGACTGGACGGCCACGGCGAGTCCAGAGATGGTCCCCTGCTCCCGGCGGCCTGCCCACCTCCAATCAGACCTCCCATGCCACTGCCGACTGGTAAAACCAGAAAACCCAGGCAATTCATAAAACCAGAGAAAGATCTTCACCAAACGTCAGAATGCTGAAAGGATCCTCTAAAAAGGGCAAGTTGTCCCTACTTCCGCAGGTGTGTGGGCCCAGCGTGTGGACCCTCCTGTGCGTGGGAGCCACCACGAGAATGCTCCACATGCCACGGCTCGCGTGCACGGAAACACGTACACACGCACACGCACGCTCGCACGGGCCGCCCGGGGGAGTCTCCTTCCTCAGCTGAACTTGAAAGGCACCTGCCGCCCCGTGTTCTGACCATCAAGGAGAGGAGAGGCAGTGGGCTGACGGGTGCAGCTGGCCGGCCCGTTCCGGGGGCGCCACTGGCCTCTGCTGCTCGCCTGGGGCATAGCAGCCGGTCAGCCGCAGCCTCCCAGCCACCGTGCCGCCGGCATCACCGCCCAGCCCAACCCCTCTGTCCACCCAGCGGCCCCGCTGCACGCTCTACTTCGGAGGCTTCAAGACTGGAGGATGCAGAATTTTCCAGAAACTTTAAACACTGTGTCCTCACTAACGCATCATCCCCGGCCGCATGCCCCACACAGCAGGAGACACACGGTGAGGGAGGCTGAAGCTGAGCAGGAGAGGCCCTGGGCTCCTCCAGACGTGGGACACGTGCTGCGTCACGCGGCCAGTAGGGCAGTGGAGGCTTTTGGGGGAAGGAGCTAAGCCCAGACAAGGCCGTTCTGGAGGCCGTTTTCCACGGTGTGACCAGTTCTGCGGGTCACCACGACCGAGCTGCTCTGGGCAGAGCACGGCCTGTGGGACGTGGCCCCACCGCTACAGGGACGTCCCACCACCCGGCACTGGCCAGGGACAGGCAGGCCACGGGGAGGACACGGGAGAGGGACTCATTCCCAAACCATGGCCGCAAAGCACTCGGGCTCTGACTTCAGGGCTCACCTCTGCCCAGTGACACGAGGGCCCCTTCCAAGCAGATCGTGCAGGGGCCTGGGAGCGGGCGCTCGCGGCCTCCTGACCTGCTGGCTGACTGTGAGCAGGGACATATAACACTGTCCCCTGGAGGAGGGCTGGGGGGACGGAATCGCGTAATGTGCTATGAGCCACTGCCCGGCCCACGGCCCGGGCCGCCGTGAACTCCCACGTCCACCATTCATCATTCTCATCCACACGTCGATCATTCGCTGTGGTCGTGTCACCAGGCTTCCGTGGGCCTGACTGGACACACAACAGGGAAATCTGAGCAGCCTGGCCCTCGAAGGCGGTGGAGGCTGAGCCCGGCCAGGCGATCCACGACCCCAGGGCCACGCTGCTCCCGGCGAAACTCTCCCTGCCGCGTCAGGGGCGAGAAGGCCATTTATCACCTGTGCTGTCAGTCCTGTAAGGAGTCCACGGACCCACACGTGGCTCACACATGGTGCAGCAGCCAGACTTTTCAGAGAAACCCGCAGAGGCTGTGTGACAACCTTCATATCAGACACATCTTCTGTGCCCAAGACACATCTTCCGCAAGGCCGTATTTAACCTTCCTGACCTCTGGGGGCCTGAGCACCCTCTCCTACCCTGGGAAGGGAGGGCTCCAGCAAGTGGATCTACAACCATCCTGGAGCCTGGGTGCAGCGCCCCCCATGCAGCTTCACGACTGAGCCGGGACGGCTCCCCCTTCCCCCCCTCCCCAACAGCAAAGGGGCACTGGGGCTGTGGTCGCATGCGGTGACGCCTCCAGGAGCAGCTGTGGTCACTGCCACCGCCACCACCCCTGCACTGCTGTTACAACACCAGGCTCCCCTGAGCCGCCGTCTACACCTGGGACAGGTCCCCTCTCCACACCTGTGACGTCCCCCACGGGACTCAAGCAGATGGGGCGGGTTCGGAAGGCACGTGTGACCCTCTCCGCCTGCAGGCTCGGCTTCAATGTTCGCTCAGGGGAGCCCCTCCTCCTGCACCGCCCGTGGCGGGGCTCCCCACCTCCGGTCTCCTCCTGGAGCTTGCCGCAACGTGCAGTGACTGTTACCTGCTTCTGTGTGTTGCCCGTTCTGCATGGTGAGCAGCGCCCGTGCCGCCCACCACCGCCCCCGACACCCAGCCCAAAGCCTGAACAGAAGCTTGTATTTGGGGCAGGTGAACAAAGCCAGGAAACACCGACCCACGGGGTAGGGGGCAGAAGCAGGGCATCAGCAGGGCCACGGCCACCACCCGGTGTGGAGACAGAAGGCACAGGTTCGAGTCCCGGCTCTGCCACCTGCCACCTGGGCCAGTCACCTGCCTGTTAGGGCTCGGACACTTGTCCTTAAGACAGAGACCGAAATGAAGGAAGGACAAGGAGGCGGAGGGAAAATGGGGGGGTCAGATGAGACCAATAATCTAACTTCGCCCATGAACCCCAGGGTTCCTTGAAGGTGAGGAGACCCCCGCGTGTCCCCAGCCCCACTGCTTGGACCAGAGCCACACGCTCTCATCGGCCCTGGACATGTGGCTCCCACACCGGCCGTGTCTGGGAAGGAAGTGCCCCGGGACTGAGACACGCTTTGCGACGACCCGTCTGCCGCTCCGTGGCCGTCCTCGGGTCTGAGATGCACCAGCCACACACGTGCTCGGCCACAGAGCGACCCCGCCCGCCGCCAAGGCCCACCTCATCGAAGACGATCCTGGACGGCTGCTCCACCGGCCTCACAGCAGTCTTCCACGTCCTCCCGAAAAAGTGTCGGTAGGTGATGTCGAAGAGGGACACGCGCAAACAGCAGCCCACGTCCGAGAGCACCTCCAGCTCCCCCTGCGAGAGACAGAAGGTGCAGCCCTGAAGGCTTCCTGGCGTCGTGAGCCATCCCGCACGCTGACCGACCAGCCTGGGAGAAACGGGGCGCTCAGCACCCACCCCCAATTTAGGTGTCAGTCCCCCTGGGGGAGCTGCCTCTCTCCCGGGGCCAGTGCTCTTGGGGGGGGGGGGGTGCATGCATCAAAGTGCTTGGCCTCCCCTGGCCAATCAGAGGACTGAAGTCCCGAGGTACAGACAAGGACAGAAGTCTCACCCAGTGCCGAGACACAAGCAGCCAGGGCTGAAGAGACAGGTACCTGAGGCCACACGGACCCAAGAGAGAACAAGTCCAGGTTCCAGCACATGAGACCCTTGATCGAGCCACACCCGAAGTTTGTACCAACTATAGATTTGTCTGTTGTGTGAGTTCTCTCTAACTTAAGCTGTTTTGAATGGGGTTGTCTTTATTATCTGCAAACAAAGGAGTCCTTCTTGATATAATCAAACTCTACACCCTCAACTTGTCAGAACTGTTTTGGGGTTTTGGGGTGGCATTAGCAAAGGAAAAGCAGATCTTTGAGGACTGAGAAGTCATGGCTACTAACATAGACAAAACGACCAGACACTGTAAAAACAATCCATTTCCCAGGCCACACCACCTACAGTGAGGCTCTCCTTTGGTCTTTAGTGCCTCTGTGACTGGTGGCTCTTGCCGTCTGCCCTGGGACCAAGAAATGGTTTTCATTCATTCATTCATTCATTCATTCATCAAACATTAAGCATCCACTTGATGCATCTCGTCTGTGCCAGGCACTGTTCAGGCACTAGTGATACAACAGGGAACAGGGGGCTCACATGAAATTGGGGAGACAGTGGTTGTGCATTTTAACAGGGCGGCCAGGGAAGGTCCGGGGAAGACGATGTGTGAGCTGAGAACGAAGCAGAGGGTGGACGTCAGGCAGAAGGAGCAGCGAAGCGAAGGCCCTGGGGCAGAGGTGAGCTGGGGTTCTCAGCAACCCTGGAGAGTTAACTAGTTAACTAGTTTTCTTACTCTGTGTTCTTCGTGCTCCGGCACGTGGGGCCTCACTGACAGGAGGCTGCCCCCACCAAGGGCTGGCTGACTCCTCGACAGTCAGTGACTTACCTTCCAGAAGGTCTCTGATATGCGACCCAACCAATCCAGAGTGCAGACTCCCACCTGGCCCCTTTCTGGCTCCTAGACTCCAGGAGGCCACTGAAATGACTCACACCCGCCAATCCTCACCCCGCCTTGTGCATTCCTTCCCATGAAAACCACAGTGAGGCCTCTTGGCCACGGTCTCCCCGGCTGCTCTGCCTCCTGACAGACCCCGTGACACCCTGGTGCCACACAGCATGGCCCTATGTGGCCTGGCATACCCCGCCTCTTGGGAACAGTAAAAAATGGTCTTCTCAATGTTGCCTCACCCCATACAGGTTTTTTTTTTTAAGTTTATTTGAAAGACACACAGAGAGAGAGAGAGCAAGAATGGGGGAGGGAGAGAGAGAGAGAGAGAGAATCCCAAGCAGGCTTCACACTGTCAGCACAGAGCCCACCAATATGGGGCTTGATCCCACATGACCTGAACCAAAATCAAGAGTTGGATGCTCAACTGACAGAGCCACCCAGGCACCTCTCCCAGCATAAGTTTTAGAACAAGGACCCCCCATTGGGGGGGTGGCTCAGTGGGTTAAGCGTCCCACTTTGGCTCAGGTCATGATCTCAGAGTCTGTGAGTTCAAGCCCCATGTCAGGCTCTGTGCTGACAGATCAGAGCCTGGAACCTGCTTCAGATTCTCGGTCTCCCTCTCTGCCACTCCTCCACTCTTGCTGTGTGTGTGTCTCAAAAATAAATAAATATTAAAATAATATAAATAAATATTAAAATGGTAATAATAATAAATAAAACAAGCCCCTTGTATAACTGCAGCGACTGTGAGGGAAGAGGGAGGGGCCAGATGTGTCATTTAACTAGGGGGAGGGTGGTCCTCACAATGTACAGTGTATCAAACCCCTCACTGGGCATCCTAAATAGCTCACAATTGTTATGTCAATTTCACACCCTCCAGCCAGCACCGGGAGCTCAGCAAGGATGAGGACGGGCTGCATGCGGAACGTGAGGGACAGAGCCACAGCACCCGGAAGGATGGGGTGGTCAGCTGCCTCGGGGTACCCAGGCTTCGCCCGGGTCTAGCGCTGCGAGTCCCATGTCGCTAGCCCCTAGCAAAGGATGCTGGCAATGTTTTCTGTCCCCGGCAGCTGGGAGAGAGGTGGTCGAGTGCGGAAGCCGGACGACAGCAAACATGTAGGGAGGAGGCATCCAGGCCTAGTTTCAATCCCGGAGCTGCAGGGACCTCTGCACACCTCTTCTCAGGAAGCTCTCTGGCCCGTGGCTCACCCCCATCCCTTCCCTGATGACCTCCACCATCTGGACCCCTGCCAGTCCCCTGACCATGCTTTCTTTCTTTCCCCAAAGTTCATCCGGTTCTCTGCTGCCCCCAACTGAGTGTGCGCTACCAGAGGGTAAGAGCCCAGAGCATTCTCCTCGCTGCCCCTGCTCCGTCCTTGGGGCCTAGAACCAGACCTTGACCCTGTACTCCGTGCACTGGTCCCCAGGGGCCTGGCCCTATGCCTCCCCTCAGCCCCTCGGCCCCCCTTCTTCTCCCCCTTCTCCTTCCCCGCCCCTCCTCCCCGTGCTCCGATCCCCTCCTCCTTCCCTTCCCCTCCCTTCCCCTCCCCCCTCCTCCCCCCTCCCTCCTTCCTCTTCCTCCTGCTCTCAGAGAAGTAAGCACCAGCCACGTCCCGCTAACTCCCAAACCTCTCTTGCTGACCTAGACTTCTTCCCAGACCTCCAGGCCCTAAGCACCCCTCCACCTCTATGTGACTCTGTACCATTTCTAATCAGGTAAGTTTCTAAACCGTCTCTGCTGTTGTGTGAAGACAGTCCCCTGCACCGCTGCACACATACAATGATGTCAGGAAACATCACTGGAACTGGAATAGCCAAAGCAAAGAACAATCAACGTTCATGGTAAAGTTAAACTCCGTGGAAAAGGTAAGTGGGACAGCAGGAAGGCATACTAAAGTTATTAAGAAAGTGTCCTGAGTCCCAGATAAACATATTTTTAGCCAACAACTTTCACAGGGAAGTTTGCTATCACCTAAAGTTGTCAGTTCCCAAAATAACTAAACTCTACAAACTTTCTAAGACTATGCATTTTACACCTGTTTCCTACTTGGTCTTCTTTTATTTATTCTTTTTTTTGTTTTGTTTTGTTTTTAATTTTTTAAAGAGGCTTCACATCCAGCATAAGGGCCCAACGCGGGGCCTGAACTCACAACCCCAATATCAAGACCTGAGCTGAGATCGAGAGACAGATGCTTAACCAACTGAGCCACCCAGATGCCCCAATTTCTTTTAAATGCTATCTTTTCACTGGTTTCTTATATATACGGCTGACCCTTGAACAACACAGATTTGAACCGCACGGGTCAACCTACAGGCACTTTTTTTTATAAACACATAATAGGACGAAGGATGTGTTTTCCTTGTGATTTTCTTAATAGCATCTCCTCTCCTCTAGCTGACTTTATTGTAAGAAGACAGTGTATAGTACATATAGCATACAAGACACATGTTAATCAACTGTTGACATTATTGGGAAGGCTTCTGGTCAACAGTAGGCTATTAGTAATTAAGTTTTAGGGGAGTCGAAAGTTATATGCAGATTTTTTCCTGTGAGGGGTCAGCACCCCAACCCCCATATTGTTCAAGAGTCAACTGTAAAACCTGTAAAAAACTGTAAAACTTAGGGTTCCTGTGTTAAACCCCATCTGATCATAAGGTACTATCCTTTATGTATATCACTAGATCCTATGTCCTAATGTTTTGAGGACTTTTGTGTTAATATTCATGATCCTGTACTTGTCTCATGATATTCTTGCCTGATTTGGTTATCGGTTACAAGGCCTCAAAAGAAAAAAAAAAAAATTAAAAAAAAAAAAAAACAACAACACTGGAAAGCATTCTCTCCTCTTGTATTTTCTGAAAGTTTGTTCTAGAATTCACACTATTGCTTCTTTTAATATTTTATAACATCCAACAGTGAAGCATTTAAGTCGAGAATTTTCTTTATAGGAAGATGTTCCATTATGAATTGTTTCTTTAATGAATATAGGACTATTTAGATTTTCTATTTCCTCAGGGCACCTGGGTGGCTCAGTCGGTTAAGCATCTGACCTCAGCTCAGGTCATGATCTCACAGTTCATGGGTTCAAGACCCATGTCAGGCTCTGTGCTGACAGCTCAGAGCCTGGAACCTGCTTCAGATTCTGCGTCTCCCTCTCTCTCTGCCCCTCCCCCACTCATACACAGTCTCTCTCTGTCTCAAAAATAAACATTAAAAAAATTTTTTTAATAAGATTTTCTATTTCCTCTAGTGTCATCTTTGGTAAATTATGCTTTTCAAGAATTTCTCCATTTGAACTAAGTTATCAAATTTATTGGCACAAATAAGTTATTCATAATATCCTTGATTAGCTTTATTTTTTTAATGTTTTTTCATTTTTTTGAGAGACAGAAAGATTGACTGGAGGAGTGGCAGAGAGAAGGAGACAGAATCCAAAGCCGGCTCCAGACTCTGAGCTGTCAGTGCAGAGCCCAATGTGGGGCTCGAACTCACAAATGTGAGATCATGACCTGAGCCGAAGTCGGTTGCTTAACCGACTGAGCCACCCAGGCGCCCCTCCCTTGATTATCTTTTTAAACGTCTGTAAGATATACTATAATACTCCCTTCCTTCCTAATATTGGTAATCTGTGTTTTCTCTCTCTTTGCTCATGATCAGTCTTGTAGGAGTTTATTTTATTAAGCTTCCCAAAGAACCAACTTGTGGCTTTGCTGATTTTCCTCTACTATTTGCCTTTTTCTCTACTATGGCTAAATGAGCAGAAACCTACCATTTCCTTCTTACATTTCCTTTGGGTTTAACTTGTTCTTCTTGGGGAGATTCAGAGGGAGGAAAGAGGTCATTGATTTCATACCTTTCTTCTCCCTTAACATAGTCACAGAAAACTATACGTTTCCTTCAAAGGACTAAAATAGCTGCACCTCATAAATTTTGGTATGTTGTTCCATTACTCAATTCAAAGTATTTTCTCATTTCCCCATGAATTCTTCTTGGACTCATGGGTTAGTTAGTAGTATGTTGTTTAATTTCCTGCTATGTGAGGATACTATGAATACCATAGTAGTCAGTTGACACATACATATTCCATAAATTTCAATCATTTTAAATCCATTGAGACTATTTCCATGTCCCCGCCTATGGTCTATCTCGGTGAACGTTCCACATGCACTTGAGAAGAACGTGTACTCTATTTGTTGGTTATAGTGTTTAAGGGATGACAGCCAGGTCAGGGTGGTTGGTGGTGGTTAGATCTTCCAGATCATTATGGGGTTTTGTCTGTTTTGGTTTTGGCTTTTGGTTTATGTGTCCTATCAGTTAGTGAGAGAGAAGAGTTCAAAGTCTCCAGTTGTGATGGTGCATCTGACAGGGCTCCCTTTAGTTCTGCACGATTTTGTGTCACTGGGTGCTGTGCACAGAAGAACTGGCACCTCTGGCCCAGCTGTTACGCTTTGAAAGGCCAGTCCACGAGGCCGGCCCTCGGCTGGATGCTGGGACTTCCCATCACCACGATAACAGCCCACTGTGGAGGCCCACCTGACCAGTCCCCAAAACATCCAGAGTCACTGGTGAGCTTCCTTGGCTGGGAACATTCCCACGTGTAGTAATGATTGTTGTTGGGAAAACCAAATGCATCCTGTGGGAGGGGCCCCTGAAGCACGTGCCTCCCTATCCCCCCACACCTGCCCCATGGCTCATCTTGCTCTGTACCCTTTCACTGTAGTAAATCCCTCCTGTGAGACGATCACATGCCGAGACACATGAGTCTTCCCAAGGAATCACTGACCCTGAGGGGTCTTACAGGCCCCGAGAGAGGTGCATACACACTGAGAGCCGTCATATCTTCTTGACTGCCATCATCATAATGAAATGCCCCTTTTGGGACGCTTGGGTGGCTCAGTTGAGCTTCTGACTCTTGATTTTGGCTCAGGGCATCATCTCGCAGTTCGTGAGTTTGAGCCCTGCATCCAGCTCTGCTCTGACAGCACAGAGCCTACGTGGGAATCTCTCTCTCTCTCTCTCTCTCAAACTAAACAGGCTTTTAAAAAAATGCCCCTTATCTCTGGTAATACTCTTCACGTTGAAATTGACTTTTATCTAACCTCAGTACAACACAAAGATTTCTTACAGGGTGTAGTATGTGGCTTATCTTTTCTCCATTCTTTGACTTACAATTCATGTCTTTCTGTTTATTTATTTTTAAAATTTTTTAATGTTTTATTTATTTCTGAGAGAGAGAGAGAGAGAGAGAGAGAGAGAGAGAGAGACAGCATGAGCAAGGGAGGGTCAGAGAGAGAGAGGGAGACACAGAATCCGAAACAGGCTCCAGGCTCTGAGCGAGCTGTCAGCACAGAACCGATGCGGGGCTCGAACCCACGAACCATGAAATCATGACCTGAGCAAAAGGTGGAAGCTTAGCTGACTGAGCCCCCAGGCACCCCCATGTCTTTCTGTTTAAAGTGTGCTTTTTATAAACAGCCTACAATCGGGCCTTAAACAATAACTGCTAATATATGACTCTGAATCAGGAATTCCACTTATAGGACTCATTCTACAGACATACGTGTACATGAAAAAAAATCCCATATAAATGAGGTTATTCACTGTAGCCGTGTCTGTGATAGCAAACTGGGAAAAAACTCTATATGTTCGTCCATAAGGGGCTGAATAAATGAATGCAGAATCACCCAAACCAAGAAATACTGTGTTGTCTTCAGAGAGAATGAAATTCTTCATGTAATGACATGAACATCTGTAAGACCAATTGTTAAGAATGTTTTTAAAGCATGATAATACAAGTATATCTATTTGTTGTATTTGCTTCAAATTTCTGGAAACTTATACCAAAAAACAAGTCACATCGGCTGTGTCTAGGCTGGGACACTGGGGCCTTAGGGATTCCGTGAAATGATACACTTTCCCGGTGCACCCTTATGACTTCTGCACTATGATAATCACCTTTTCAAAAATAAATAAATACAGGGGCGCCTGGGGGGCTCAGTCAGCTGAGCGTACTTCAGCTCAGGTCATGATCTCGTGGCTGGTGAGTTCAAGCCCCATGTCGGGCTCTGTACTGACAGCTCAGAGCCTGGAGCTGCTTCAGATTCTGTGTCTCCCCCTCTTTCTGCCCCTCCCATGTTCATGCTCTGTCTCTCAATAATAAATAAAAACGTTTAAAAAAGTTTTTTAATAAAATAAATACAAATAAACGAAATACGTACAAATAAACAAAATAAAGTGGGACAGTGCACAAAATTTCCTTTGTAAAACTCCTAGGAGAGAGGACAGCGCTGTCCACTGTGGGCTCCTCCGAGGCAGGGCCCCACCCCCCGCACTGTGTGCCCGGCTCCGAGCCCAGCCGGCTGCCCAGAGCTGGACAGCCCGCACCATCGGCTCCTCTTCTGCCGGCCGCGCTTCGGGTCGAAGCAGAGGGTACAGGGGAGTGCTGGGCGGTACAGCTTGGGGACGGCAGCTACCGCGGTGCTAACACGGTGGCCTGCAGCCACAGCAGGCGCTGGATCAAAGGGCTCGGCGCTGCAGCCGGAGGCCGTGAATGCCTTCACAGTAGTGAGCTCTCACGCACCCGGCACCCCAGAGACTTAGAGTATGTGGAGAATCGCTCTACCTCCTGCAGCGGAGGACCCGGCCTCGCGAGGCCAAACCCCACAGTTACGTGTTCACGCTGGCATCCTTGCGTGCACCCCACTGGGCTTCACTAGAACCTTCCAGTCACGGGGTGTTCTGCGGGTGGGCGGCACAGAAGCACAAGCTTCTCCAGCAGGCTCCCTACCCCTGAAGGACACAGATGGCCCCGGAGCCACGGAGCAAGGGCCTGAGCATGCACGCGGCTTCTGCCAGGAAGTCCACGGCTCGGCCCTCCGGCAGTTCTAACTACCAAGCTGCAGCGGGCTGTGTTGAACCGTGCACGAGCCCAGCTCCTGCCAACGACCCAGCTCAAGTGACCCGAGAAATCAGATTACCAGGGTTTTAAAACTGCTCCGCGGAGGGCAGAAAAAACCTTTCCCCGGGGTCAAAAGTGCTGACCAAGTCGCTGAGTCATGTATTCTCTTTGCTGATGAGCCACTTTGCCTCCAGATACTGCCAAAGCCCAAGGTAATGGGTACAGTGGTAAGACCCACATAAATAAGTGAAAATCAATATCCTCTCAGCTGAGAGCAGCAGCAACATGCAGTTGACAATAAAAAGCAAATTTCTTTACCTGCTTAATTAGCGGCCCATCAAGCCACTTCAGGACGCACTGAAAGGCGGTCGATTCCTTCAAAGGCTGGCGTGCTCTCTGTGGGTGGGGAGGGACCAGCACGTTCTGGTCAAAAATCTTGAGCCAGTCATTCATTCTGCCAGTCGGAGGGTGACTGTGACTCGGTCCTCTAGGGTTACCTGCAGGATTTGTGTTCAAATAAACAAAGGAGTGGTAAGGGCCATGGTGTGCAGAGCACTTCTGAAAGCCACTCACTCACCTCCCACTGCACCATCCCCAAAACCCTCCCTCCGAACCCCAGTGCAGCACACGGGCACCCATTCTGTTGAGAGGAGATACTCTTTTCTGCAGTCCTTGGAGCAGAGAGGTCATCAGTGCAAAGCTGTCAGGGGCCACCTCCGGAGCAGCTTCCGCAAGACACACGTGGAAAACGAAGCAGAACAAAAGGACCGATGGGTTAGGTGTCCTGCTAAGAGACCCTGAAACCACCCAGGACAGCTCAGCTACGTGCAGTCAGTCTCTTGCGGCCAAAGCCGGTTTGGGACAGGCTTTGAATGCTCTGAGCTTCTTCGTGATGTGGCTCCACCGCGGATGTCATCCGCCTTCCAGGCACACAGGGACCTGAACCTTCTCTAGCCCCCTTTCCGCTGACACACAATCTTGGCTTCGATAAGAGGCTGAATTCTGTACACTCAAATGACTAGCAAGACAGGGCCGCGATTCGGGCTCCTAAGGCAGTTTGCTGCGGTTCCCCAGGGTCGTCAAGGGCCCACAAGGTCAAAGCTATTTTCACGATATCCGGATGTCATTGGGCTTTTTCTCTGTGCGGACAATTTGCGCTGAAGGGGCCAAGGCACCAGTGGGCAAAGCTCCTGGGGACTCAGGGCGCCCTCGGGGCAACAGCAGCAAACCCTTGGGGCCGCTGTGTGCCCTTCACCCCTCGCAGCGGAAAACAGGGCGACTTTGGTAAAGCTGTGACAATGACCCCTTCCTGGCCCGTGAGTACACACATCTCTACTATTTTGTGAGGAGGTGGGGAATCCACAAAAAAAAGCCCTTCTGCTGCAGAATGAAAGGTGAGGGTGGGCTCGGGGTCAGCCGGGTGTGATCTCCGCGCTGCACGGGGGGGGGTAAAAGACCAGCTGAGAGACAAGCCAAGAAACTTACACCAATGCAAAACAATCCTACTTCTTGCTAATTTTTTGTTCTGGAAAACAGTTGGCTTTCATAAAAGAAAAAAGTACACTTTAGGCTAACATGTAACAGGTCTGTCGCTATCTTTAAGTGAACGATAACACTGTTGATAGTTCTCAATTTCCATTCCTAATGCGGTAAATCCTGGTAGACGTTAAGCTCTTTGGAGTCCTCAACGATTCTGTAAAGCGTGAAGGGCTACTGCACAGCATGGCCGCTGTGTGGGGAGCGCAGCCCACAGGGCACAGACGTGACTGGCCTGAGACGCTCTCCCACACCCAGCGCGCCCTGGCACAGAGCCCTGCCCCCCATGGGAATGCCCCCACCCCCACCCCACAGCTCCCCGCAGGCCAGCATCCACCGAAGTATCCAGATCTGGGCTGTCCCCATGTGAGCAGGACAGCACACACACACTGGGGTTTTTGTCCTGCGTCACTCTGATCCGCATGATACCCCATTTGAAGGAATGAGCCTCCCGACCCCATGTGTGGGAAGGCCACCACGATTATGGGCAGAGCCCTTGAGTGCTGCGCTCACAGATGAACATGTGACCCACAGTGGGCAAACCATCGCCTTCCCTGAGGCTCCAGCCACAGTTTCCTCTGGAGAGGCTGTCTCTGCTCAGAGGGCAGGAGCTGCCCAGGCCAGCCTGGAGCCCTGGGGGCCACCTGCCACTCGAAGGAGAGCCTGTGGTCAAGGCCAGCCCAGGGGAGACTGGCAGAGGTAGGGGTGGGGAGGACCCAGACCTCCAGGTGGAGACAGCCTGATGGAAGGCAGCCCCATGCCCACCGGAGCCGAGATGCCAGGAAAAGCCCTTGAAGGCTTTCTGTGCTAAATAATCATCCCCAAAGATGTCCCTGTGCTAATCCCCAGAAGCTGTGAATGTGTGACTTCACATGGCAAAAGGGACTTTGGGGGCATGATTAATTAAGCCAAGGACCCTCGGGTGGGGAAAGTACCCTGGATTCCACAGAGGGGCCTGGTGAGGGACACAGGCAGGGGCAGAGGAAAGCTCACTGACCACCAAGCAGGGAGGATGGGGCCACAAGCCAAGAAGCTCAGACACCTCTAGAGGCCAGAGAAGGGGAGGAAAGAAATTCTCCCTAGAGACTTCAGGAAGAACACAGCCCTGCCCACACCTCGACCTTGGCCCAGTGAGACGGCCTTTGGACTTCTGACCCCCAGAACTGAAAGAGGAGAACCGCTGTCCTGAGCCACCCAGCACGTGGTACTGTTACAACCACAGGACACTCACACGGGTGTGCACTGCTCGGGTGTGCACCATTCGCAAGCCACAGAGGCCTGACACCCAGCAGGAGGGCCACCTGCCCAGGAGAGCGTCTGAAAGGCTCCCAGGGTCAGCTGCTGGGCTTCCCACGGGCACAGGGCCACCTGCATAAAGGGATCCATTTTCCTGTATCCTTGGTACCTGGCTCACCATCAGAACTCCCTACGCTTTCATAAAATCAAACTGAAGGCTCAATAAAGTTGACTCCCAAGCTTTTTTTTTTTTTTTAAGGGAAAATGTTTCCCCGCAGACTTCCGTTATAAAACTGAGATGGTAACTCATAGAGTGAGCGCTGCCACAGCCTGAAGCTCGCCGTGTGGGAAGGCCTTCCTGACTCAGGCAAAGCATCCCCTCTGGAAGGGGCCTCTGCACACTGCCGGGGTGTCTCCCCAGCTCTGGGGCCGTGCCCCCTCCCCTTGCAGGTCATTGCAGACTCTGCTCGCTTGCCCCAGATTCCTGACCCGGCACCTCCTTCCCCTCCCGCCGGCTATCGCACTTGGCCGGGCAGGTGCCGAGGAACGCTTGCGCTCTGGTCCACCTGGCAGGGACCGCGCATCACATCCGCGGGAGTGCCCTGGGCTGTACCAGCAGGACCCACACCGGGAAGAAGGACATCCGCTCTGAAGGGAACAGCCACCCAACCAAACTAGGGAGCTGGGCAGGTGGAGGTAGGCAGCGACACACAGTCCGAGTGGGCGGTGGAGGGAGAGAGGACACAGGAGACCAGGCTCCTGGGGGTGAAGACCAGGCAGGCACAGAGCTCTTCCCTTCCCTCCCTCCCAGCCCCCAGAGAACAGCTGCCACCTGACCCTCCCCCACTCCACCACCGCTCTGGCCTCGCTACAGTCCCTCACAGACACCATGTCCTCTCTGCTCCCCTCAACACACACACACACACACACACACACACACACACGGCCCCTAGAAAACCCCCACGCCTCCTTTAGAATTCAGATCTGATGCCACTTCCTCAGGGTGAGCACCCCCAGCCCCCACCAGGTGGTCCCCCACGAGGGAGCCTGTCACAGAAGTCACCAGGGTCCCTGAGGCTCCCCCATCTCTGTTGTCCTGCAAGACTGAGCTCAGTGAAGTCAGGGCTGGGTGCTCAGTGAGAATCTTTTCCAGTGATGAAGTATAAGTAAATTGTGCTGTGCAGGAATCACGACGGCTACAGAGGAAAGACATAAGGACCTCTCGGGACAGAGGAACAATAACGAGACAACGGTGAGGGCTCCACGCTTTGAGCCCATGGAAAGGGTGATCTGGGGCAAGAAAAACCACACAAGAAAATGCACCAGCTTTCACGAGTCCCCACTGTGAGCTGGGCCCCCATGAGCCTTTCCATGTATGCAATTCTGGCAACTGTGTAGACAAGTATCCCCGATGAGGCCAGTGAGACTCAGGGAAAGGGGCCAGGCCAAAGTTACACAGCTGGTCGCATGCGCCCTTTACAATCACAACCAGTGAGATGCTGGCCGAGGAGCGGAGGCTTACCCTCCGCTCTCCTCCGACTCCAGGGAAGTCTCGTGCTCTCCCTGCACCTGCACCTGTCTCCCACCTATAAGACCAGAGGCATGTGAGGTTTCCTAGAGGGCTCTGCTTCTGCACACCTATTCCGTTCCAGTGTGTGCCATAGTGATGACTGCCAAATACCCTGTCATTAAGAATCTAAAAATCCGGAGTGCCTGGGGGGGGCTCAGTCGGTTGAGCATCTCGATTTCAGCTCAGGTCATGATCTCGCAGTTTGTGAGTTCGAACCCCGTGTCCAGGTGCTGACGGCATGGAGCGTGCTTAGGATTCTCTCTCTCCCTCTCTCTCTCTCTGCCCCTCCCCCCCTCAAAAATAAACTTAAAAAAGAAAAATAATCTAAAACTTTCTAGTGGGAGAAAGACCAGGAAGCAAGTACGAGCAGCACATAAGAGTTGAGCCTAATCCAGTCTCTTTTTTTGTGGGGGGAGGGGGATGGGGGGCAGAAAGAAGAGGGGGCTTGGGTGCTGAACAGGTAAGCTGGGATGAAGTGTCACCAACAGCGGCTCACCAGAGAATGACACGGGCAGGAGCCACGAGGAGCTGGGCAGGAAGAGAGAAGCTTCTTTCCAAGAAGCGAACACAATCTGGGGTGCCTGCGCCCAAAAAAGCTTTGGGAAGCTTTTCTGGAAGTACGTGGAGTCCAGTTAAACGCTGCCTAGAATTTATTTGCTCCTTCAAGCAATCTTTGCATACCTACCACGTGCCAGGGCCTGGAGAAACCGCCCTGAACACGGCAGGCAAGCTCCCTGCCGCCGGGACAGGAGATAAGTTAGCACACCACGAAGACACGGTGTGATCTATGACAGAGGTGTGAGCGAGCAGCGAGCTGGGATGGAGACTCGGTTGGAAGTGGAGCCTACGGTCCACGATCACAGGACACACGCAGCACTGAGACCCAACGGCTCTCAGGAGCGGGTCTGAGAGTGCAGCCTTCCACGGAGACGGGCGGTGGAGACAGATGTGCACGGGTGGGGCCTCTGACTCAGAAGGCGCGCTTAGGAAGGAGGGCAAGCATTCGGGCTGCGGGAAGGGCCCAGGGGGCCAGCTCTTAAGCCGCTCGGGAAGTCTGCGGGATGGACGGCGGAAGGGAAGGCGGGAGCGGGTCCGGGGTCGGCCAGAGGCCGGCGGGACCCGCAGGGCAGCCAGAACCTCCTGCAAGAGCCAGTCTCGCAATCTCCGCTGGGCGGAGGCTCTGGGATGCTCCCGCCGGCGAGGAGGCCCCGGCCCGGGCACAAACACCCCGCAGGGGTCCCCCGCTGCTGTACGACCGGGAAAGGGCGGCGGGACGCCCAGGGCGGTGGGCCAACGTCAGGGTCTCGGCAAAGCCCGGATGGTCCGCACCGCGCTCGTCCTAAGCCGAGCGGCGGCTGAGGGACGCAGGGTCAAGGGCAGAGGGCGCGCAGGGTGAGCTCCAAGGAGCCGCAGTGAAACCCCGGGCCGCACCAAGGGTCAAGACAGGGGCGGCATGCCACTGACGCGGGCACCCTGTCCCCGCGGAGAGACGCACGGAGCACCCCCGGCCCGGGCCTGACCCGCTCGGCCGCCCGCAGCGCCCCGGGCCTCGTCCAACCTCCCCCGCGGCGCCAGCCAGCGTGGTGCCGCCCGCCGCGGGCTGCGTTACCTAGGAGACCGGCCCGCCGCGGCCGTGCCCCGGGCGCCGAGGCCCAAGCTGTCGAGGACGTGCCCCCACGACGGACGCGGAGCCCGCCGGTGCCCTCGGGAGCCCGCCGGAGCCCGCCGGAGCCGCAGGCCTAGGGTCCGGAGGACCCGCACAGGGTCGCCGGGGCCGCCGCCACCGCGGGAGGAGCCTCAGCAGGCGGCGCGCCGCGCGCCGGCTCCCGGAGCCCGCCCCGCGTCAGCGTGGCTGGCAGGGCCGAGGGACCAATCAGAGCCCGAGTCCAGAGGCTCCGCTCCGGTAGCGCCAGCCAATGGGCGCAGCGGCGGGCCCATCCTGATTTGCATGGCCGACGACCCCTTCAGCCAATTGGAATATGACTGGCGTGAAGGCCAACCAATGAAAAGCCAGTATAGGCGTGGCCCAGGGCGTCCCACGAGGTGAAGATGCTGCAGGCGGAACCTGGCGGAGCGAGCGGGATTCGGGGGCGCTAAAGTCGCCGGGGCAGGGCGGGAAGGAAGATCCGGAGCGGGGCACAGGATTCGGAGCTGGAGCCCCCAGGTGAGTGCCGGGGGACCCCGGCGGGCCGCGCTGGCCCCCGCCGTGCGCCCGGAGAGCAGCGGCGGGCGTCCGCGAGGCCCGCGCCGATTCTGCATCTCCTCCTCCACGGCGCGTCCCCGCGCCCGCCTCCGTCCTCACCTCCGTCTCCATCGTCTCCCTTCCCCCATCCCGCCCGACCTCTCAGCTCCCATCCCCGACCCCTGCCCCAAACTTCCTCCCTCCCCTCGTCCGGGTTGCCCTCCTCCCCGTCTCTGCCCCCTCCCCTCCCTGCAGCCTCGCCGCCCCCTGCCCCCAGCGCTCCTTCCCTACCCTTCCCGCGGCCTCTGCGCAGCCCCTTCCGAGCGCGCCCGGTCGCGGACCTCCCCGTCCCTCCTCCTTATTGCTCCCGAAGGCTCATCCTGCCGCGTCCTCCCGATCCCTGCCCCCATCCTCCCGTCCAGGCTGCTCCCAGCCCCTACATCTCTCCCAATGGGTGCTCCCCCCCCCCGACCTTGCAGGTCTCCAGGACCTCGGCAGTCCCTTCCTGCACCAGTTCCTCTGGCTGCCTACACACCCAGCCCCGCTCCACCCCACCCCTGGCCTAAGCCCCTTCCCGGTGTTCAGCTTCCCTTCTCTCCCTGCCTCCCTACCTGCGGCTGCTCCCGCAGGATGCAGAGACCCAGAAGCTGCAGTAGCGAGAGCACCTGCCCACCTCGCCACCCTCCCACCCAGGCACACCCTGGCCGCGCTCCTCCTGGCACTTATCGTGGGGGATCCCGTGGGGGGACTGCGCTCCACCCAGTGCCTCCTGGGAGGCTCCAGGTGGGAAGCCCCTTAGTACCCTTTCCTGCCTTCCTCCTTGGCCACCATCTCCCTCCCCACCCCACCCCCACTTTCCTGCTCAGCCTCACTTTGTGATTCAGCATTTTTGGGGTTGGTAACTTTCTTTGCTTCCTGGCATGACGGGGACTCGACGGTGGGGCTGAAGGCTGGGGGTCTTGACCCTGCAGTTAGTTACCAGGGCCACCTTAGGAAACAGACCTGAGCTGCCTGGTGGGGACAGGGATGGGGAGCAGGGGACCCGCCAGTGGGAGCTGCCTTCTCTCCCCTTCCTGTGTCTGTCCCGTGTTGAACCACATCCAAGGGGAGATGACATAAGTAATAGCTCTTGGGGAAATGGGCTATTAGCATTTATGGAAATTAATACATCCACATCTGAGGAGTAAGAACACCAAGTTCAGGCCACAGCTGTCCCCGTGTCTGTCGTTTCAGGATTTCTTCTTTCTCTGCAACTTCTCCTCCCCCTCAAAAGCGCCGTCCCCCTTCCAGTGCCAAGAGCAGGCTCCCACTCTGCTAACACATTGCGGGGTTTGGGGACCTACGTGTGGAGAGTCCCATCTGCCCTCCTGATTGTTGCTGGGAAAAGCATCCACCTGCAGAGCCAGGCTTATGTGCAGTTCCTGGGCTCCTGCCCGTGTGCTCTCTCAGCGGGGGCCCCAGAGGGCACTGGCTCCCTGGCTTGTGTCCATGGGAACACTCCAGATCCACACCCAGCCGTGGTGGCACCAACGGTGTTCGGGCTTCAGCACATTCCTGCCTGGAAAGCAAACCTGGGGGAGGCGTCCCGGACACAACTGAGGTCCAGCTGTTTGTGCTGCTCTCTCCCCTGCCAGCGGCCAGACGCCATAGGCACTGCTCAGTGACCCCCAGGACTGAGCCAGGCCATGGGGGATGGGGAGGGTATGAAAAATGCGAAACCCAGGTCTTGTGCTCAACACCCTCTTGGGTCTGGACGTGGAGCCTGGATGGGAAGGAATGGGCACAAAAGCAATTGCACACCACAGGTGTGGCGAGATGGGATGCCACCGCTTGCCTTGGGAGGGTCTCCACCGGCCGTGGTCTCTGGGGGGTCTGAGGGGCAAGTGAGCTCCGTGGATGGGGACGGCTTGAGAGGCTGGCTTTCTTTGCCTTTACTTTTCCAGTGATCTCCTAAACCCCGAATGCTTCAGGAGGAAGTGAGTGGCATGAGTTTTGATTTGGCAGTTTCCGGTAGGGGCTCAGAGGGAGGGGGCTGCTCCAGCCTTTCTGTTTGTTGATGCTGGGTCGAAGGCAACCGGCCACCACGGAGGTGGCGGGTGGTGCAGGAAGGCCTCTGCGCTGTTGGAACCTGCGTAACGGTTTCGTTTCCGGGGACTCCGGCTGAAAGCTGCACGTGTTTAGTCCTTGAGGAAATTCTCAGTGACCTTCATGTCACCAGAGGTCCCAGAGCCAGAGTGGTTTCCCAGAGTCCCTGAATAACAGGGCAGGACAGTGGCGGCCGCAGGCAGCACTTGGGGAAGACAGTCTCTGAAGGTGCGTGGGGCCAGAAACACCAAGCCTCCCTCCATCCCCTCTCAGCAGCCAGGGGGTCTCCCCTCACAGAGGCGGAAGGTCTTGGCCATCCCCCCACCACCACCACCAAAGGAGTCCACGGAAGCCCAGAGGCAGAGACTTCTCCAAGGTCACTCAGGGCAGGGGGCAGATCCAGAACCTTCCCACCCCACCAACAGAAGCCCAGGTCGTCTTCGGCTCTCCCTGCACCCTGTGTGTGTCCCAACCATTGGGTGCAGCTGGCCTTTGGGAAGGCCACTCTGGAGATGTTGCTGACATGTAGAGAGGAAACCAGTGCCCTGGGGTGTATCTGAGTCACTGGGGAACTCTTGGTAGCGGGGAGGGGATGCCATCAACCACAGAGGATTCTGGTGATACCACCCTGCCCGGCCTGGCAGGTCCCCAGAGCCAGGGCGCTGTGGTTCTAGATAGATGTCATCAAAGAGAAGGCAGGGGGCCAAGGCACTGGGCAGGGTGAAAAGGGAGAAGAGTCTTAGGTCAACCTCGGCCTGCACGTTGGGCCTTGCTCTGTGATGGATCCTTGTGAATACCCCTGTGAGGTGGGCTGGTTAGGCTGGATGGGGAAACCGAGGCACAGAAGGATGGAAAGACTGACCCAGCCTCCTAACTCCCAGGGAAACCTAGGTTTTGTTCCTGCTGTGCCAGGACTGAGACAGATACCACCCCCCCATCCCAGCAAGCTCCGGAAATCTGCCCCCCAACACACACACAGATGGGTCTCAGATCCACAGAGGAGGGTCAGGGTTCAACCCCGGCTCCCAAGGGACACGGAAACCCACCCTTTCCACGAAAGGGAGCCTAACACGCTCTGCCCTCTGCTCACTCCATGTCCTGCCTTCCTCCGGAATACTCTGTGAGCAGAGGCCGTGCTTGGCAGTACTCTCGGCTCAGCCACTTCAGGGGAGGAAAAGGGAACAGGGCCTCCCCAGGAGAGAGAGCACACCTGGGACCAGATGGTGACCCGCTAGCTTGAGGCTTCCTTTCAGCCTGCCCTGGGCAGGTAGGAGGGTCTCTGCCAGGTGGGCGTGAGCAGCTGCTGTGTCTTCTTACTCTTCACCACTTCCTGTGGGGCCCAGCCGAGGGCTGGCCTTCCTCTCCCTGTATCCCCAGAATGAGCTCTGGGCCCAGCGCCCCCCCCCAGCCTTGAGGGTGCCCCACAGCCCCATGCCCAGTCTCTGACGCACAGCCCCACAGGATGTGGGCTCCAGGGACTCTCCTTGCTCTGCCCAGTCGCCGCGTACTTAACCCTGGAGACCCCGACGCGTGTGCGGGCTTGTGTGCACCCCTCGCGGTGCAGCCGATCCCCCACCACCCATGTTGCCCACACCCCTGCCGCCTGCCTCCATTGACCTTCCTCCTTGTGGGCAGCCTGCTTCGCCCTCGCTCCAGCACACAGGCACCTGCAGAGTCGGCTCTCGGTGCCACGCGGGGTACAGATAAAATAAGATCGGTGCAAGAGAAGCGGAAAGGGGAGACCGTCTTCGTCAGCTCCACACTGTGCTGCAGCCTCAGTTCGGGCATTTTCTCCACGGAGATCTTGGGCCCTGGCTGTGGGGCAGTTGAGGCCTGTCATCCAGCTGGAGGGTGACCTGCCTTATTCCTTGGATCCCTGCCCCCAAGTTCAAGATGGAGCAGCAAAGTGTTCGTCCCGGGGCCAGTTTCCCCAGTAAATGAGCAGCTTCTGGGGTCCCCTAAACACCTGGTCTTGTCCACAGGGCGCTTTGCCTCCAGTCTGCCCCATGGACCCTGGCGGGGAGTTGGCTCCACATCGCCCTCGGTCTCTGGCTTTCGCCTTCTCAGCCATCTGGCCTCGCTCTCGTGTCTCCCTCTTTCTGGATTGGCAAAACGAGGCCTTGCAAGCAAAAGCAGAGGGACGGTCCGTGCCTCAGAGTGGGGTGCCTGGTCAATGTCACGTACCCCGCCACCTTCCACTTCTAGTCACAGACTGAGTCCACGTGAGCACCCCACCTTGGGGCCAGGGGGCTCTCTGGAAGGCTTGAGCAGTGACTCGGGTCCTCTTTTGAGTGACTTCATGATCCTCCCCCCACCCAGAGCTGCTCATAATGGGCTGTCTGCTCTGCCAAACTGGCCTCTTACATGGGGGTGGGGGGGCAGTCCTGTTGCCATTGGTCTGCAGAGAAGAGCCTTCCCG